TCTAAGTTTGTTCACTGAAGATGGCCCGAATGATGACTGAAACGTATGAAGATTAATTGTATAAGTATTATGTATTAAATAATTTATTGCATGATTCACCGCAAAATTGACTCTCATTAGCCTTTTTTGTAATTTGTTTGTACATATTTAAATTATTCAATATTTATGTAAACAATAAAATCCTGTATTACGTACATAATAACCCAAGCAGAACAACAACACAATAACGTCAAAATGATGTCACAATGATATCATTTTGACGTTATTTTGACGTCATCGTAACTTGTTGTTCTACTTGGGAAAATTAAAAATAAATTATAACTTTTTTTTAGTGATCACAAAGATAATATGAATACAGTACCATGGTTTCCAAGGAGAATACGCGACCTCGATAAGTTTGCTAATCAAATTTTGTCTTACGGTGCCGAACTTGACAGCGATCATCCTGGTTTTACGGATCCTGTATATAGAAAAAGAAGAAAATTTTTCGCAGACATTGCTTATCATTACAAACAGTAAGTCTTAAAAAACACATAAAACTGTCAACAAAAAATTAAAATAACATCAAAATGACTTTACTTTGATGCTTAAAGTCAATAAACAGTTAAATTTTGTAACCAAAAATCATTACATTAACATCAAAGTACATCATTTTAACTTTTTCTTGACTTGGTATATTCCTTGGGGTAGAGTGAATATATATCGTATTGTAAATATATATATATATATTATTAGACTAGAATTATTAGAACTTAATTAAAAGAGAAAAATATTGTGTGTAATATATGTACCATATTTTAGCGGACAACCTATTCCAAAAGTGGAATACACGCCCGAAGAAATAGCTACGTGGGGCGTAATCTTCAAAAACTTGACTAAGCTTTATTCAAAGTATGCATGCAGAGAACATAATCATGTTTTTCCGCTACTTATCGAAAATTGTGGTTATCGAGAAGACAACATACCCCAATTGGAAGATATATCCAACTTCTTGAAAGGTAACATCTCATTAACATTTTTAAATGTATGCAGTTGTGGGAAAGAAAGTTTTATAGTTAATTTAACCCTGAATACCTTTGCGACATGTCGTACCCGACTTTTCGAATGCTTTTCCTATTGCTTCTTTATGATTAAAAATACGTACATTTAGTATCGTTTCTTAATATTTGACGTTACGATCGAAAAAAAATTTACAATATATTCATTTTTATGAAAGTTATACAAAAAATTGAATTGGATTGAGTATGCTATATGTCAATGTATTATTTTCATAGTAAGATGTTTAAGAATTTTTTAATTATATCAATGATAGCATAAATTCTATTTGGTTCCAAGAATCAATTTTTTTTTATCTGTATCATAGAAAAGAAAAATTGTTAACTAGTTGATAGTACAATTCAATGGTATAATTTTATTTTCGTAATCGATTTTCTACTTTTCAATCAATTTCTTCAGATTCTACCGGTTTTACACTTCGCCCAGTAGCAGGACTATTATCCTCACGTGATTTTCTGGCTGGATTAGCCTTCAGAGTGTTTCATAGCACGCAATACATACGACATAGTAGTAAACCACTTTACACGCCGGAACCGGACGTGTGCCATGAGATTTTGGGCCATGTACCACTCTTAGCTGATCCATCTTTTGCACAGTTTTCACAAGTTATCGGTTTAGCGTCCCTTGGTGCTCCGGACGAATATATAGAGAAACTTGCAACGGTATTAAAACATCTTAAATTAAAAACTTGTAGTGTTTTGTAGCCATATAATTATAAAATATACATAGTCGATTATGTTGTAAAGATTTATGATAATCCAAAGACTAAAAAAACTATAACTATACTATTGTAAATTCGGCTTTCAATAATATTAGAGTTTGTTAATAATAGAAAAATAAATCAAAAAAATAAAAATAAAATCAAAAGTTACTTAAAAAATAAATAATGTTAAATTTATTTAAAATATAATTTTATTTTTGTAGTGTTTCTGGTTTACGGTAGAATACGGAATATGTCGACAAAATGGAGAATTAAAGGCATATGGTGCAGGTTTACTCTCATCTTTTGGCGAATTGGAATATTGCTTGAGCGGCAAGCCAGAGCTTCGACCTTTTGATCCACCGAAGACTTCATTACAAAAATATCCGATAACAGAATATCAACCAGTATATTTTGTTGCAGAAGACTTCGATGATGCTAAGCAAAAGATGATGTAAGTATAAGAATAATAAGCAAATGTCGCAGATTCGTTTTTATCTATCTCGCCCCAGGTCACACTCATTTTCTTCCTATTCTATAGCGCGCAATATTGGCAATACAAAGATATATATAACGCATTTTGTATACAAGATATAACGCGCTTATTTACGCATAAAATGTATTACATCCTTGTTTGTTTGCAGTTATTATGCAAATCTACAATTTATGTAACAGTTCCAACTGAACACAAAAGGAATCGTTAATATTAAATAAAAGAATAATAAATTTTTTAATTTTAGTAAATTTGCTCAAAATATACCGAGGAAATTTGGAGTGAGATATGATGCTTATACGCAGAGTATCAGCATTATCGACAGTAAACAACAAGTGGAAGCTCTTGTAAATAACGTGAATCAAGAAGTACAAATTTTAACGGACGCGTTAAGAAAACTACACCATTAATTTTATTTTGTTATTTTTACATATGTTTTAAAATAATAAGTATCACAATTTATGTATAAAATACTTACATAAAAGGATCATTTTTCTAAAGAAAGAAATTAAAACACTTTTAAATTTCAATATATTAAATAAATATTGTACATCATATACATCTTTATATTTTTTGTTGGATGTTATAAATGTATGTTAGTCATGACAAAGTAAAAGAAAATATTTATACCATTAGGAATGATAAAATCTTGTAGAGACATTTCTTAAATTCTTAAAAAGTAATTATTTAATAATATACACTTATAATATTTCAAATGTTATTATGTGATACGAAATTGTCAATTATGTAATATTGTCAACTATGTGATACGAAACTGTTAACTATAGGTCTGTTTTCTGTAGCTGAACTAGTGTACACTTTTAGAACTTAAAGTGAGATAGATATACGTTTGATATTTGTCGAAAGAGAGAAAAAGAGTTCTAGAGCAGCCTAGTGCAGAAAACAGATCATTGTTTATACGAAATTATTGTATAAACAGTAATGTTGCCAAAATTATTTATATCAATCAATATTAATTTTGAAGATATCATTTTGTCATGTAATACTCCAATTGTTACGTTAGGGTGAAAGATTGCTGATGAAGACTTAAACCATAAGTGGAAACGTTCAAAGTTAAGGTTTATATATTTAGTATTAAGAAAAATTGCGCTAACTGATAACCAGCGTCGACTCCTATTGCCTGTAATACATATTTTATGGTTTTATTAATTATTTTAATTAAAGGAGTTTGTAAAAACTTATTAGTTTTTATATTTGTAATTCATCATTATTAATTTTGTATTTCGTATTCTACGCAAGCGTTTGAAGAATATTGTCATCACATCAATATGGACGCAATATGGAATCGTAATTTGATCGATTTTACTATATTTTTTGTTCTATAATGTACATTAACGGTATTTCTATCGAGTAACAATTAAAAAATGTTATAGCAATCTAAGATACATTTATATTATAATACATCAGATATGTATGAAAATGATAATATTATACATGTACATACCACAAAATATATATTATTTTTATCGCCATTAATATTCGAATACATGAATACACACATACGCACGCACACACACACACACACACACACACCCTGTTTCGGAAAATATGGAGATTGGTCCCTTCTCCGTTAACTTTGATGACATTCATTAGAAAAATAAATTCAATAAATATACACAAGCGTGATGATTCCTTTCAATTGTAACTATCTCATTTATTATATAAGTTTATAATTGTTTAAAACAATCAAATTATTCTCAAAAGGTTATCAAAATTTATATAAAAATTTTACATTAAATATAATATACTTTTACTTTCTTAGTGATGTTCTTCTTAATAGTATTCAATAAATGCGTAGATTCTTTCATTATGTACTCAATATTACTGTTAGATATTATTGAGAATATTTGTTATTTGTAATTTTATCACTATACAGATACAATTAACTCAGTATCTTTTAAATATTTAATTACTTAACCTTTTTCCAAAATAGTTCTGTAATTTAAGAATCTCTTTTTCTGTATAAAAATATAAATTTCATTCTCAAAAAAAAGCAGGTAAAGTAAATCGTAACAATTATTATGTGTAGAAAGAAAGTATCGTTGTAATTTGGAAAGAAAATCATCAAAAAATCACTTTAAATAAAAAAATGTTATTCTAAGTGAAATTTAAGTTAATATTCCTTATCAAAACTTAATTCTTTGCAAAATCATTTTATAATAAATATAATTAATTTTTATAAATTTTGATTTTATGTAAAATACATATTTGCACAATAATTATACTTTGCTTTATATTGCCTCATATTTTAGTTTCTTGAAAATAGAATTAATAGATAGTTCACTATATTTATATAGATCTCTCTATAGATCGTCGCACAAGAAGAAAAAGATACAATTATAAACAAATATACAATGGTAGAATGATAAATAGCCAATATATAAAATATTGTACACTATTGCACTAAAATATCAAAATTCTGTCACAGTTTATGTAATATTTGGCTGCTGCTATTATTATACAATGAGCTTACTATAACTTTTTATAATTAGAATCTTTTTGTAGGTACACATGCAACGTACAACATTTTTTATAAAAATTGCATCTTCCTCCAGAAGAAAAAAGAAAAAGAAGGACAAGAAAAAATATATGTTTATATTTTTTTTACATTAAATACTATCTACTGTTTTCTTTGTATAGTACATGCAATAAATAAACAAAACGGACTTTTTCAAAGATTTAAAAATCTTTGTAGAATTCTAAATTTAAAAAGAAGAAAGTTTTTGTTCATACAGTTAAAATATTAAAAATAAAAAAAAGTCTTTTTTAATTTTGCGATGATCTCTGTTGTTGATTTGAGGACGTCTCCATGTTACTGTAGATCATCTCGGCCTGTTGTAGACAGATCTGGAAAGGCACGAGACCGAGACTAGAATTGCTACCTTCCTGTTGCGATGACCCCTGTTGTTGTTGTTGTTGTTGTTGTTGTTGTTGTTGTTGTTGTTGTTGCTGTTGCTGCTGCTGCTGCTGCTGCTGTTGCTGCTGCTGCTGTTGCCAATTCGGGGGGTGGTGGTGGTGGTTGGGTTTGAATATTAAGCC